TAATATATATTATATATTTTATATTATTATTATTATAATATAAATATATATTTTATATTATAATTTATATTATAACTTAATTATAATAATATACAATAAATAATATAAAATAATATATATTATAATATATTTAATATTAAACGTGCAAACCATTAACCCATTGACTAGCAGACATATTTAAAGTGCGTCTTGTTTTAAATTTGTATAAATATAATAATATAAATTACTGATATAATATTGTAATGGTATTTACAATAATTGATAATTAATATTTTTTACACCATACAAATATTTGATTGAACCTTTTTAATAATTCTTAATTCAAATAACCATTTGTAATATAATCGAAAATTGCAGTACACACTACAAGATATCTCATAGTTTGCAGTCAATATGTTGTAAAGTGTTAATTATTACAAAATTTATAAATGATAACTAAATCAAATTGTTTAATTTAGAAAGATTTTTTGTTTTTTTCATCGATTGACATTTAATACAACAACAATAATAATAACAACAACAACAATTAGAATAGAAGATGTGAGTAATTGTTTTAATCTCATGGAAATTGTTGAAAGTTCACGGACACTAACAACCTTCTTGATCTCGATGACGAGAGAATATTAGGTTGAAACTGAGCAACACGATCTTCACTTTCCTTCCTTCCACCTCCACCTCCTCCTCCTCCTCCACCTCCTCCTCCTCCTCCTACTCCTCCTCCTACTCCTAATCCTCGTTGTGTTCGATTGGTGTTTACAAATACGCTTCGTGGAAAATGCATTTCGTCGTAATGACATTTCTTTGAATTAAATGTGCATCACGTTCGTAAAGGACCATTTAATAAATATTTAAAACGTTTATCTTATCAAACAATTTTCGAAAGAGATAGAGAATTAAGAAATGAAATAAAAAAAAAAAAAAACAACAACAACAAATTAAAAAAAAAATGAAGTATAATATTGAAATAAACAAAATTAAAAAAATATTCAAAAAGACAAATTTGTTTCAAGTTCGTTTAAAAACAAAAACAAAACAAAAATATGGCTAATGTAATATTTCAATTTTTCTATGCAAAAATGTAATTAGAAGAATTCAATTAACCCTTTGAGTGTACTATAGACGCATATATGCGTTTGGTAAAAATTGCTAGGGTGATCATTCGACACATATATACTTATTTGTTAATATTAATGTAAAATATGTAATGTGTAATGTTGATATTATTAATTAAATTAAATTATATTTATATAAATAAAAACTTTAATTATTAATTATATAATTTATTATTAATAAATTATTAAATAAATAAATAAATTATATAAATTAATTAT